GATGTTGCCAGGGAGGGATTCTTTCAATCACCTTGAGGATAACTTATATTTGTTTTGAAACACCGTGTTGGTTTGTGATCTTTTTGCCCTGACAGAACAAATAGAAGTATTGTCAGAGAAAATATCACCAAGACTATTTTTGAGTGTTTTGAAGGAGGCAAACAGGTTGATGGTCTATTAAATAACTACTTCACGAGCGCAAACCATGGAGGGAAACATGAATTGGGATTCTACTTAATGGCAGCGGTGTGAGAGCCCTTTCCATTCTACAGCTTCTGGTTAATTTGTCTTTATCAATAAAAGTAGCTTCTTTTCCCCCTCCATGCTATACCTATAAAAGGATAGGTCTTAATGTATCTTATTGATCATAATAAAGTGTGTACTTCCTCAGCAAAGTCGATGAACAGGCTCCTATTCCAATATTCACCCATAATGATCTCTGTGAAACCATCTTGCAGGCTTCTTAATCACTTGCCGAAGCATTAACTAATCAATGCCTATCAATTATGTGATTGGACATTCGATCAGCTGTCAGCCCAAAGCACTGATCTCATGATCAGCTGACTGATTGATCGTCTCAATGACTAGTTGGCCAATGATGAACTGACAAGGGCAGCGAGGCTGTAGGAAGTTGACAGGGTGCTGATGTTTGATTGACACTTGGAACAAAATGTGTGTGTGTGTGTGTGTGTGCCTAGCAGCTACACACAGAGGCACTAAGGCTCCTCCAGTTTTAATCTGTATAACTATATTATTATTGTAGAGTGACATACTCATACCCCCCAAAAACAAAAAAGAATCCTCACATCAGCTACTGTGAACGGCAGGAATTTGACAGTTACCGAAACACGTGGCTATACAATCTGTTTACCCAAAAGGGGGAAATGTCAGGTATGGATTTCTGGATGTGTACTGTGAGTCAGCATTTATGGAGACCTGGGCAGTTCGACTTATTGAGTTCAATTTTTGATATTAACAATGTACAGCACGAGTCCCATTTTTATTTTCCCTCCATACTTGAAGAGTTCAGTAGAACAATAAGTTTGCTTATTAAAAGAAAATGTTTTATTGATAGCGAGACCACATTTTTCAGTATCAAAAAGGAGGAATCAACACTACTACTCATTTACTTCCAGATCCGTCCTTTAGTGCAGGATCCGAAAATTCCTTTGTGACTCATGAATGTTAGACACCGTATTTCTACACAAATGTCATCTTTTATTCCTTGACCTGAAACAACCTTATCTACCGTCCTTTGAATGTGCTGGTTATGTCAGGTGAAGTGCTTTCTGTTTCTGTAAAATTATGTTTAAACTTATCGTTTATCTCTCTCACTCTCTACAGTTATTGTTTTCTTCTTTCCTCCCCTCACTGTCCATAACTCAGACAATAGCCCTCTCTGCCAGGACCAAACACACTCATCCTGCTCATAAACCACCTAACAGCTTTAGTGCTAAGTGTCCTTTTGAACTCTTTCTCTCCAATTTTTTGAGGGGGAAAACAACACATAAACAAAGGCTTTAAAGGCTGAATGACTCACACACAGAAACGCACATGTATGCCAGACTTATTGTCAACTTCTTAAAGATGTTGATCCACAAAGAGAGCAGTCACACAAAGGAGTGACAGGAAGACAGACTGTGGAGGGTTACAGGCAGGTGACAGAGTTATGAGAGGCAATGAGGAGTGTGAGTGTGTGTAGGAGAGGAGAAAAGATGGAGCAAGAGAAAAAACATGGAGGTGAGATAAGTGTGTGTGTGTGTGTGTGTGTGTGAGCGCTAGAGAGTTAGAGTCAAAGAGATCAGAGCATGTTGAGAAGAGCTTTTGGCTTTTCTCTTCGAGGATAAAGCCTGTTCCGGCCTTGTGCCGCTGAATCCCCGCTGTAGCGCTGTCCATGGTGCTGAATCGGCTGCCGGGTCTTGTGTCTCTTTTTATCTCCCCTCCCTCCTCTCCTCCCTTACACTTTCTCTTCCTCTCCCCTTTCTTTATCTCTTGTGCTCGCTCAAAGTAACCCTCTATCTCTCCCTCTCAACTTCACAGGCACTTTATTGTTATGAAACACAGCTTGTTGCCGCAGCAATGTCAACACACAGCACTGAACTGACAGTAGCTAAACTTCAGCGCAAAACAGCCTAATAATGCAGGCTGGCTATGCAAAATGAGATGCAAAGATTAGTCAATCAGAAAAAGAAGAAAGGAAGAAGGCAGTTTTTTGTTGTTGTTTTTTTGGGCTGCATTTCAAGAAGAATGCCTACCAAAAAAGACAGCACAGGTCATTTACTCAAAAACACAGCATGTTAAAGCCCCTGTGAGCAGTTATTAGTTTGTAGTGAAACAGACTGAAATAAATGCTGAAGCCTCTCTATGACCTACAACAGCAATCAGTGAAATGATTCATCATTTCAATATAGTAATTTTTTATGTTTGTATCAGACAGTGAAGAAACGAGTTACAACATGCTGCAGAGAGAGCCTTTGTTTAAATATTGCACAACAACGATTCACTGTGAGGGATACATTCAACTGTATAGCAGCAGGATGAAATATTGAAATTTTCTATCATGAAACACCACAGGACCTGTGGACATGGAGAGATGGCAGAGTGGGGCTGCTTCAAGCTGCTAAGCAGAGAGCGCACTAGAGCAGTTGGGGGTTCGGTGCCTTGCTCACAGGCACCTCGGCAGTGCTCGGGAAGTGCCCTGGCGCCTCTCCAGCTATCAGACCAGCTTCCAGATTGGGTCTGCACCGGGACTTGAACCGGTGACCCCCCCGGTTCCCAACTCAAGTCCCTACGGACGGAGCTACTGCCGCCCCCTCTTTGTTCTGTTACATATCAGAAAACAAAAAATTTGGGTCGCAATTTCTTTTGGAGGAGTTGGTGGTGGGTCCTGACGCTAAACCAGTAGAGAACCACTGTTGTCAAGGCATGCACAAGACAAGATCAGCTAAGAGATAGGAGGTACTGCTTTGTCCACAGGAAGCACCAAAACCATCACAAATCAATCCCTGAATGCAGAGCGGTGAGGGCATTTCAGAGAGCAGTAATGAATAGAATGATATCATCTCTGCTGCTCTTCCATTCCCCTTATTGTTCCAACTCTCTCTCTCTCCCCCCCCCCCACACACACACAAAGACACTTTCTTTCTTTCTTAAGAAGATAATACTATAATTACATGTTGAAGAAAGTGGTGTTCATCAGGGCTTGCACCAATATTAACACAGCTCTGATGACTTAACTCACAGGGTTCCTTTAGGTCAGCGATGATTTTTCATTCCAGGATCCCAGAATGAGTACATTTGGTTCCACCCTGGGGGACACACGGTCTAATTAAAACATTGCTACTGTGGTTAGGAACCATCAGAAACAAGCCTCTGACCCAGTTTCTTATTCTGACCAGTCGTTTAAGAAAAGGTTGCGTAAGGCTTATGAAAATCTCATCGAATTAGACCTTCAAATGCCACCAGAAGTGACGGTTATTCATGTTTCCAAAAATAAACTTCCTAAACCTCACATTTTTGCTCTCACTCCAACTCTCTCACGCACACATATTTATTTATTTCTCGTTGGACAAACCTCGCGCCTATATAGCCCAGAGGTGTGTCTCTATTTTCATTGAGGTCATAGATCATGAAACATAAAGTAAGAGTTTTCATTTTCTCTGCCCCTGTCTGATCTCTGTCGATCCTCTTAATCTGTTTGTCTGGTTATTTTCTGACTTCCTCTGTTATTGCTTCATCTCTTCATTATCTCCTGCCCTCCTGGCCTCACCACCAACGCCAACAACCACAACCCTGAATTATATTATTTTCTACCAGCTGTGCCTAATCAAATTTATCCCATCTCTTGCTAATCAGATAATAACAGAACTCTGTAATTTCATAATCCATGAAATCCCGCAGAATCTGTAAAGTGAGCATACTAATCGGCTTCCTTTGTACATTTCTTATAGTTGCGTTTGCCATTAGTAACCCCACCAACAGATGCTTTGATAATCTGCATCAAAAATAAAGTCACCTGAACACTAGGGAGACATAACTGCTCCAATCCTCCCCCCAGTGGTAAGGTAAAAACAATCTGGATATTTATTGTTTTATTTTACATGGAGAAATATGTTACCAAACACAATGATGCACATGTGTCAATACATGATGTATGGTAAACTGATTTAAAGTTGCCAGTTGGTGATCATGAAATGAAAACTATCAGCAACACACTACACTGGTAAAATACCCTGTTTACTAGCCTGCTTCTGTCAAGAGAACACCAAATTCATCCATGACATGCTTTCTGAACATATCTTGTTTAAAAAAAATAAAAAATAAGTAGGACATGTGCCATTGCAAGTTCTGGCCAGCCACAAGAACTTCTCCAATACTCATGTTAGTGTGAGCTTGTTAACTGCTGCAATGCATTTTATATCATTTGAATATAAAAGTCATGTGAGTATCGTCAATCTTCTCATCAAATTATTTGCATGAGAAGCAAAACAATGTTTTCTGTTTAAAAAAAAGAAAAGAAAAGAAAGAGGAACAGAAGCTAGCCGAGCCACAAGGAGTCCAGCTTGTTTCTCAGTCGATTAAGCATAGCGTTAAGAGTGGAAACAAGGGATATAGAGTAGATTAGTGGCCCTGAACATTCATAGAATTGTAACTATGAAATATTCACATAAAAGAAGAAAAGAAGAAAATAATTTGTTTTGGAGCATGTGTGCAGATTTGCATTAAATCATTTAACCACAATTATATTGTTCTTTCTATATATTTAGTGTTACGTTCCACATTAAAGGGTATTTGAGAAATGAATTACATTAGTGTAGTAGGCTATTAAAACCATAAAGAACTTTCACTTATCATAAAACGAAATATTCATAAAATACAACTTAAGTGTCAGGACATGCTTGCGTTTCTATACGGCCTTTTTTAAGTCCGCCTCCCTCACTTTGGGAACCTCTGACCGTGTCCGTGTCTGTTTTCCTTACAGACACAAACTGTATCAGCTTCTTCCCACATGCAGGTAAACGCCCCACCATGGCATCACGAGCAGTCGTCATAACGCATCCATCCGTTATTAGCAGCCTGTAATCCCGGAGCAGCGAGTTGTCAATAGACGGAGCAGGACACGGATACAGAGGAAAGGAGCCAGACAGGGAGAGGAGCCTGTAGGCGGATCGCCTCCCGGGACAAACCACCGCACAGTGTGAAAGTAACTGCAGGAGATGCTCACCGTGGCGGAGAAGGGCGCTCTTTAACGACAGGGAAAAGAGGGATGTGATTAGAGGCTGCTTTTCTCTCGGGATTTATTTATTTTGTCTGGAGCTTGCCTTTTTTTTCTTGACCTATAACGCCTCTATCTAGCGTGCAATCCAGCGGGCAGCACGCGCTGTTGTCCGCGACAAGAGAGAGGTCAAGACAAAGTCACTTCAGTGGCACAAAAGAATAACTTCAATTTACCACCCTTCTTTGATACTTTCGCATCTTTCCTTTCCCTCATTTGCGCACTTATTACTCGATTGCTCTACTTGAGGCGGATACTCTTCTATGGCAAGAAAGGATTAATATTCTGCAACCAAGTCCACACTAAAAGCAAAGGGCGCGGAATGAGTGAGATGGTGATGCTGGTGCAGGAATGACAGCTGCTGAATGGGGGAGCATGGAGCATCTATAGGGGAGCTTTATGTTGAGACCGGCTGAGTAGCCGAAAACGAAGAACGTGCCCGGTATCACCGAGTGGAGAGAACGTTTTTCTCACTCTCCCTATCCGTTGCTTTTCCTCCACTCTCAAATTACAACCTCAAATTCCCACGACTGCAGCGTGAAAAAAAGATTGGTATTTTGCTTTAAATGGCCAATTAACGGAGTCTTAACGTAACGCGGGGCGCTCATGCGGAGTCCAAATGAGTGCGCAACGCGGCGGTGCGCCGGTTTAACGGCGTTTTTTCCACGCTCACACTTCGGTCCCAGTGGATCAGCGGTGGACACTGGGCTGCTTTAGGTTTCAGGCTACCACCAGTCTTGTACCCGTACCATAGGCTTTCATGCAAACTCATCGGAAACTCAATTAAAAAGCCTTTGCTTGCCCTACCACCTCTCTAGGAGCCCGGCAGCGCATCCATCCCTGCAAGGTGCAAGACCCTCTAAAAAAGTGGATATGATTTCTTATTTGGTTTGCAAATCTACTTGAGCAGAAAGAGGATTATTTGACACATTTTTCCAGAGTGGAGTTCTACACCTGGCTTGATAACCGGAGGGGAAATAATCTCCACCTAACCGGAGTCGAGGAGGAGAGGGAGCAGCTCAGGTATGACTGTCTCCTTATCTACTTTTTCTCGTCTGTCTTAATATCGCACAATTTCCTCCCTCCGTCGCCTTCTCTTTTTTCGTGTCTCCTCACTTATTAGTGGAGGCTGAGTTGTAATTTTGGAAGAGCCGAATTTAGTTCATGAACGCACACATGCTCACACGCACGAACATACGAGAGGAGAAGGCAGATGGGGAGATAATGGCGCTGGTGTTCTCGCTCCAATACGATTTAGAGATGCTGATATCCCTTTTCTAGATTGAAGACGGGAGTGAGGCAAGGGAGGACATGTGCGAGAAGCTGAAGCGGTCGTTAAATATTGGAAGTGGGAATAAATGGGTCTGAAATAGATGAGGAGATGAGATATGGCTAAAGGGTATCATAGGAGCAAAGATGGGATGTAAGAGCAGGTGGATAAAGCAGCATGGGGACATGAGGGGGCAAAAAGAAGTCAAGGAGTTTACAGGGGAATATGTGATGGTGGAAGGAAAGAAAAAGGTAAAGAAAAGATAGGAGAAGATTTCTAAATCATTTGGAGGAAGCAATAAGGGAAAGAGGGGAGCAGGACTTGGGGAGCCCAGGCATGCGGGGTAAAGAGACAGGAGGGAGTTAGAGGGAACTGTTAGGGGGTGAGGGGCAGAGGAAAGGGTGCAGGGTTGGAATACAGAGAAGGAGCAAGGAGGAGAGGCTACTTCTGGTGATAAGAGGGAGTGAGGCTGTTAGGGGAAAGAGAAAGGAGAGGAGGGGGACATAATGGCAGGTGAGAGGGAGGACTGCTGTAAAGGTGAGGAGAGAAAATGGGAGAGGAAAGGAAAGGAAGATACAGGAAAGAAAACAGAGAAAGAGAGAGCAGGTAAGCTCTAACAATAGCGTGCTGGAGGCCAAGTGTAGAATACTCTTACAGAGCTGTGCTGTAGCTACTGTGTGGTATTATCCAATGGATTGCTGCGTAATGGTCGCTGCAGCTGCACCTGCACCGTGGAGACAGAGGAGACGCAGAGAGTGATGAGGGGGAAACCACAGCCAACTATTTAGTGTGCAGCGTCAGCTCAACAGCTCGTCTTTACCTTGTAAATATTCTCCTCCTTCCTAAGAGCCACATTTGCATTTTGATGGGGGTGTTCAATAGCCCTAAGCCTCCTCAAAACACATGTACACATGCAAGAGTAAATGATTTTTTGAAAAGAAGTGCAACGCTGATTTTCCTGGTCCTGTCTCCAGATGTGTATACCTGTGGCTTAGCTGAAGCCCTGTTTTTCAATTTTTCCATCTTTCCCACCTCAATCTTTTCATTTTTTCATTCTGCTTGTATCGACGCATCATGTTTGAATTTGGCTCGACATAGTGTCCAGGCAGAACATTTTGCAATTTCATTTGGGATTTTAATGCAAATTACATCCAATCTTTATGCTGATGATTGTAATTGCAGTTTACTGTGCTGTAATGCAAAGTGAAACAGCGGAATCATAAAGAGCACTTGCTGTCAGTTTGTATCATGACCCCATTTGCACTAGAACATTTAAATCGTATAAACTCAAATACCGACTGAAGATCTGATTAAGATTTAGCTTCGAGCTTCAAACAAATATGCCAAAAACAAGAAGACTGACTTTTCCTCCAAACCAACATAAAAATACATTTCAATCATGCCTGAGTAATCAGGAGTGGATGCACTCCTGGGGTGTTCTGTAATGAGCCATGCTTTGACTCTCTGAATTCTCCTTGTTACTTGCATCTTTGCCAGTATGCACACAGTATTCTCAGGTAAAGCTCATGTTCTGGACAAGCTCTTAGTTCAGTTGCATCTTCCTATCCCACACATTAATATCACTATACATGAGTAAACAGAATTTTCATGCACTGCCATGGAAACAGATTTCTCAGAGGCGCTTAAAAATAAATCTAAAATTGGATGAAGTACGTCAGGGAGATGCTGTAAGGTCAATCTTTTTTATTCCTATTTGCTAGTGGCATTACATACAGCGGATTTTTGTAGGAGGAATAGATATGTAGTAACTCCAAAACAGAAGACGTGACTTTCTTGAAAAAAATTGAATATATATATACGTGCAGGAAAACACTCTAATAAAAAACACTATTGTTTTCAAACCCAATGTCTCCGCACAATGATTATAAATAACTAAAATTTGACCTGAAAAGTCATAGAATAAATGGAGGTTCTTTATTTGAAAATAATTTCAAATTAAAGTTTTTTAATTGAAGTATTTTTTGATATGGGGACAATTTTTTTTTCATATAAAAATATGGGTTGAACTTTCTTTCACCCAGAAATGCTGAAAAGACAGATAATCACTTCTACGTTAACAAACATGACATCATTAGCAGCAGCTGGTTAACTTAGTGTAGCAAAAAGATAAAGTAAGCAGCTATTCTAGCTTTTTCCAAAGCGTATCCAACAAATTCATACAAAAGTGGGACACCCAACTGGATGCCAGCCAATTTTGTCTTCAGTATCAAGGAGGCCCAGGTTGCATTAGCCCTGATGGGTTTATGAGCACATGAAGTGAAACGTTACCCACTCACTTCAGTGTTTACTGTTTTACAGTATGCCCATTTCAAGCCCCTCTACTTCAGAACCCACTGGTTATTATCTGAAGCAATATAGCCTCTGGAAGCAACAACCAACCTTTCAGGTTTCCTGTGTAGGTGAGGGATAAACAACTTCCAGGCAAAACTTTCTTTTCCTTGCTCTGCGTTATTTACAGTCCGACGAGCACCTTAAAAAGGCAGAATGGTGTTGAGAGACAACATCTAAGAAGGGAGTATTAGATGCACTTGCATGGAGTGAGCGGGTTGTTGTAGCGGAATTGGAACCCTGACAGCATGTCCAGAAGCGGAGGGGTCTTATCTACTTTCCTTCATGATAACTCAGTCACTATACATTATCCTGCTTATTACCAGTTACTTACTTAGGAAATCAATCATTTGAAACAAAATATAGACTCAGAAATCATTTAATTGATTTAAAAATGATCTACTTATTCGGCTAAACAAATAGTTGGTTGGAATCTACAGTTAAGAGCTGTGTCCAGAGCAACGGTTAACTCTGTAAGCTGCAATTACGCACCTTAAACTGAACACTTCCCCTGATGCTGAAGTAAGACAAGGTGAACAGATCTGCAAAAAATCTGCGCAGTACCTGACAGAGTTTTTCTGCCTCCTCTTACTCACAACCTGTTGACATTTGATTTTTCTGCACCAGTATTTAAACACAACCATTGCAGGTTATGTTATGTGTTTATTTGAAGTGTAATTTTCAGTCGTGTGGATTTCTCTGTCATAGCGTACACTTTTGCGTTTTGTGACCTCAGCCCTTCGTTGCTACCATTCTTCTTACCCCAACCCAACAAACCCATGTCCAATTAACTGGACTTCATCCCACATATTGATAAGATTACAGTTACAGTATTTAACACAGCCGGTTAATAACTGTAGATAAATCATTGTTGGATTACTGGCAATGACTAATTGCATTACAGCGGATTGCATTCTGTCTCTCTTTGCTCTCCACGCAGCTTGGTTTTATGCACACAGTCAAAGCCCGCCAAAACACTACTGGGCAATACTATTTGGACTCCAGACTGAAGTTATACCCCTTCCAATACCAAAATCTGGTCCTTCACCTACAAGTTCTACAATTTTATGCAGAATCTGTAAATAGAGATAAGAAGCTCATGTGTGCATGGGGCATCCAAAATCAACCACCTTAACGCCCACTGTGAGGCCCAGTTGAAGTCTACCTACCCATGTTAGGCCCGTGTAAGCCACACTTAGATGTGTTGCCTTGGAGACAATAATGTTTTTATCAGGTTATTAGATGCTGTTAGGCAGATTCTGTCATTATACAGAGCTCGTCAAGCTGTTTACAGCCTTTGTGCTATAGGCTAAGCTGCTGGGCTGAGCTACATATTTGGATTCTAAAGTGGTATGTTTCATCTAAGTCTCAGCATTAAAGCCACAAATGGATTGAGTGAGGACTGACTGGATTGGATGTCTCACATATACAGCACAACCAGTTCTAAGCTGAGAGCAAAAAAGGCAGAAATTTCCTGCAGATTTGAAGGCCAGACACTTATTTGACCCCGATTTCCAGTATGAAAACAGGCCGTGAAAGTGGCGCTTCATGATCCTTCTGGCTTACTGGGGCTTAGGCTGAAGGTTTCAGAAAACATACCAGAGGGATAACCGGGGCAAGAAGGCGTGAGAAACCTGCCGTCCAACCTTCCTTTTATTTAAAACCAACACAGTGAGGACATACACTGCCGCCTAAACACTCTGGTAGCTGTAAGTCAAGTTAGCAGATGCAGCAGAGGTGTGAGATTAAGGAGATATTGCATGTAACGATGAAGGAGTGACAGTCCCATAACACTTCCTCTGCTACTACGGGAGCTGACAATGCATGGTGGTTTGTCATGTTTACAGTTTATTGAGCTGTGTGGAGTCAAACAAATGAAGAGTTAGGCTTGACTCTAAGGACACTTTTCCAGGTTATTTATAAGCATGGAATCAATTTTAAAGCAACATGATCTGGGACTTCCTCTTTTAATAAAGCCATATAATGGATTTAACAATTTAAAACCCTTGGTCCAGTGCTGTCTGTGTGGCACTGACTCTTCAGTAATCACGATTTCCTCATAAAGTCTCATTGGTTAGAAAAAACATTGGGCACAATGTAAAACATCTTTCATTCTGTCGGCATCAGATTGAATAATGAGGCTGACGGAAAGTGTAATTTCTGGGGGGGTTTGAGTCTAATTGATGGATGTGTCTGTAAGGCCAGAGAGAGACAGCGCAGGAAAAGAAATGGAACTCACACCGAGAAATTCAATGAGTTTTTGGGGAGAGAAGGAAAATGCAGTTTCATCTCAGTGGGGTTGTGATGTATGGGTCTGCAGGTACAAATAAGGCTCGTGCAATGTGTTTCTCACTCAATATAAATTCAATGTGTGAATTTACACATTGCCGTATGGTTGCAGTAA